TGTATTTGATGGGTGACTATAATGTTTTCTGGTATTCTTATTAGCCTGGTAAAAACCAGAGCCTGTCCTTCAATTTGCTTCGTACAAGGAGCAGTGAAGGGAAACTAGAAATGAGCAGAACTGCGTAGGAAGGTAAGGGCCAGGCTAAATTCTTATAGCTCTTTTTTGCAAAATAAAAATAAAATTAGTAAATGTTTTACATGCCGTACCCCAAATTTCAACACAATAAATTAAAACCTAATTATGAAGTGAAATCTAATGTAATGGTCGTCCACAGATCTTCTATCAGAACTGGTGTTAAACTGTCTTTAACTAAATGTTTGGTGGAGTTTGAACACATTCCATCAGAGTTACAGATAAACAGAGATGTGGAGTTTGACCTCAACTTGACAAAATTCAGCTCAGCTGACCACTGGAACATCAGTTCTCCCAGGTATGAACAGAAATCTCATGACAAGCTTTTATTTTATTCACAGTGGATCATGTTCTTTTTTATTTTTTGGGGGGTGGGGGGGGGGTCTAATTATGTGAAGCTGCTGCTTTTCTTAATGAACAAATTGCTCCACAGGATGAGGATGTAGGAGACAATTAGTGCACTAAAAAAGCTTCGCTCTGTGACTTACTGCTTGCATATAGCTGAATCKGCCATTTTTTATCTGCAGTTGGATTGGGCTATCTGTTGCAGATAACGTAAAAAAAAAAAAAAACACAAACAACTTACAGCAATAAGTGGGTCACCGAMTACTTAGTTGGCCTGCCTTTATAAAGACTTCTTCTGTGCTGCAATTATTTTTAAAATACTGGAAGAAAATACACGAGTCCAGCTGCAGGGCAGAGTTAATGAGTACAGATGTGGCTGATAATAAGTAACAGAGTATTAGCACTCGGTGGTGATAACTGGACAGCCTCTGTGTCCTCATCGGCAGGTTAATAACAGGACGCCTCACACACTCCTGTATCTTTGCACAGGCTCTCTGAGTGGAAACATGAGCACTTTTGTGACCCTCTCATCAGGGCAGAGGATGCCCACCATCGGACTCGGCACGTGGAAGAGCGCTCCAGGACAGGTGGCTGTAGAAAACACTCCCACAGGTGATGCAGATGAAGCCCAGTTGTTGCTGTTGTTTCAGTGTGTGTGTGTGTGTTTTTAGGTGAAGCAGGCGGTGCTGGCAGCATTACAGTGTGGATACAGACACATCGACTGTGCTGCTGCTTATGGCAACGAACCGGAGGTGGGAGCAGCTCTGGCTCTGTGGGTTGGACCAGGAAAAGTGAGAAACTCTAGTTGAAGCTTATTTATGTCCGTGTTGATGTTGTCCTCCCTGTCTTACTGTAAATGTCAGTTCAAGGTCAATTACTATTAAAATTTTAATACAAACAAGTCACTACAATAAATGTAAGAATCTGGAAAATAAAATAAAATCTTTTCTAAAATGAAATGAAAATAAACTGTCTTAAAATGTGGTTCATGTAGCAGGTAAGTGTTTAGGTTTAAGAWTAACAGATGGTTAGAGCTGGAGATGACGGGTCAAACTCCTGTCCGTTTTCATTAAAAATCTGTTTAGTTGAAATTTTAAGTCCTTTTTTCAGTAAATTCTGTACCCTGGTTGCCCTCTTAACCCCCTAGGCTCTGCGCCGCGAGGAGATGTTTGTGACCTCCAAACTGTGGAACACCAAGCACGACCCGAAGGATGTGGAAGAAGCATGCAGGACCAGCCTGGCCCATCTGGGTCTCTCCTACCTGGACCTCTACCTCATGCACTGGCCCATGGCCTTCCAGTGAGTGGATATACATTTAGTGACATAATGTATCTGGCCAGCTGTTATAATGGGACCTAGAATTAGTGTGATTTGGTTGCAGGCGAGGGGAGGAGCTCATGCCTCGACGAGACGACGGCAGCATTTGTTACTCTGACACACATTACAGAGACACTTGGACAGCCATGGAGAAGCTTGTAGATAAAGGTCTGGTTAAGGCTATAGGACTGTCCAACTTCAACACCAGGCAGATTGATGACATCGTCAGCATAGCCAGACACAAACCTGTAATGAACCAGGTACAAACAAATGTAAAAGTACATCTTGTGAACAACAAAGCGATAATAAAACTAATATTTGTCTTTTATTATGCCAACAGGTGGAATGCCACCCATATTTTTCTCAAGTTGACCTCCTGGCACACTGTCGGTCAGTTTAATGTTTGTTTAATGTTATAATGTGAATGCTGAGTCAGCATTTTTTTTTAACGCTTCAACTGTTTCTTCAGCAAAGTGATTCAGCACTCAGTGTTCAGATTGGATTTTTGCAGAAAACTGGGAGTTTGTTTGACAGCTTACAGCCCTCTGGGCAGCGGAGACAGACCCTGGGCTTCTCCTGATGAACCAACAATGCTCGAGRATCCACAGCTGGGAGCCATCGCCCAGAGATACCATAAATCTCCTGCCCAGGTGATCCTCAGGTGAGGCAGAAAACAAACACATAGACTGTTCCCGCTCTCCGACATCCTGTGGGTTCCATCAGATCAGCACCAAAGATTACATAAATATACAGCATGTTTTGTTGCGATGCTGCAGGTGGCACATTCAGAGGGGCGTAGTGTGCATTCCCAAAAGTGTGACGCCCTCTAGGATCCAGCAGAATTTGAACGTGTTTGACTTTTCTTTGTCACAAGAGGACATGAAACTGATGGACTCGTTTCACCGCAACGTGCGCTTCATTGTTCCAACAGTAGAGGTGAGATCTTTAACCTCCTCCAATGATTTATTACAAATTTGACTTCCTAAGTGAACTCTGTTTTGTTCTCCTCTACAGAGGGATGGCAAAAGAGTGTGGAGAGATGCAGAACATCCTCATTTCCCCTTTAATGATCCTTACTGAGTGTAAAAGTAGTTACTTGAAGAGGTCTGTAAAACACACTGGAAAAACTGAATTGCAATCAGAAATGTTCCCAGACAACATTTTTAAAGATTTAATTCCTTAATTGTTTAGAATGTAAGTTCAGTAATAAAATCTTTTTTCAGCTCTAGTGGTCAAAAGTGGCCTGCGTGTTTTTAAAATATTGTTCTTTAAAAAAAGGCACTGCTCGCTAACTAGATCATTTACAAAACAACCCTTTGAGGAAAAAAAATGCATTAACTTCACAAATTTTGTTGCAGTAACYATCTGCATAAAACCTGTCCAAATAATATACTGAATAAAAACAGTAGTTAAAGTATCCATTTAGTGAAATTTTATTTTCAGCAACATAACCTTGACAAATCTGTAATACATTAAATGCTACTGTTTATTTTAAAAAAGAAAAAAGTCATCTGCAATGTATTTTTTTTGTTTTTTCAAAGTCTAGCATTGAATCCAATTACTATAACCAGTCAAGATTTTTTTCTTCTGATATACTGAAGTTGAGGCCACTTAATCGTTAATTCCCCCACTTACCTCAAACAATCTGAGGAGAACAATTTGCAATCACTTWTTTTCTATTTTCAACATCCCATTCCCCCACCCACATCAAAATCAGAGCAAACCAAGTGGCTACATGCTTTCTCCAAGGGAAATTATACCAAAAAAAAGAAAAAAAAAAAGGAGGAAAAAAGTAATCAAAATCGTTAATTCCCCCACTTACCTCAAACAATCTGAGGAGAACAATTTGCAATCACTTTTTTTCTATTTTCAACATCCCATTCCCCCACCCACATCAAAATCAGAGCAAACCAAGTGGCTACATGCTTTCTCCAAGGGAAATTATACCAAAAAAAAGAAAAAAAAAAGAGGAAAAAAGTAATCAAAATAATAAAATATAAAGAGAACACATGAAAGAAGCACAAAGTCCTAAAAATGTGGAATCTGGTGAGAATTTGTACAGGTGTGATCCCAGGACTGACCACTGTGGGGCAGTGTAGTTTTATCCATAAAGATCATCGTCATTGTCTTCATTGAACACAGGACCACCACCGGTTCCACCTGAGCCATGACTTGGACCACTGCCACCTGCAGCACTGGATGGAAACCTGAAAGACAGAGCAATGTCACTCATTTGTTTTTTACTTTCTGTACTGAGCTGAATAAAGACATTTTTATGAAAACTAAATTTACCAAGACTTATTTTACTACACCTGTATTATCCACAGAAAAAAAAAAATACAAATAAACACTTCAATCTACCTGAAGCTGCCGAAGCCACGGCTCTGCTGCAGTGTCTGAGCGAACATCTCATATTTGCGAATATCATTATCACTGACAGAACGACGAGCAAATCTCATTGCTTCTTCAAAATGGTCCTTCCTGATCTCTGGCACGGGATCATCCTCCTCTACCTCCTATGAGAAGGCAAAAACTTAACAGTTTAGAGACTAAACGCAGATGTGGAAGGAAGAAAAATAAGTATAAAACACAATCAACAAGAGCAAGAGAGCAACTACTGACCATAGCTGATGGATTCGTCTGCCGCTCCCTCTCTTTGCGGATCTCGTTCTCGATGCTCTCTCTGATGGCAAGTTTACACGCCCGCTGACAGATCTCTGTGAGATCAGCTCCAGAGAAACCATTGGTCATCTTAGCCAAGAAGTCCAAGTCCACATCCTTTAAGTGAAAAGCAAAAACAAACATTTCAGATGAGAGTTCACAAAGTTACTCATTAACAGAAGTAATTTATGACTTCTTCACATCCCCTCAAGAATATTCCTTCTGATCAACTAAAACTGTATATGTGCAGTGAATAAAGCTGAGTGTCACCTTGCTGATGGGACTCTTGCGGAGGTTGGCCTTCAGGATGCTGATCCTGCTCTTCTCGTCGGGCAGAGGGATGTAGATGAGCTGGTCGAGACGGCCAGGTCTCAGGATGGCAGGATCAATGATGTCTGGTCTGTTTGTAGCGCCGATGATGAACACGTTCTTCTTGCTYGACATTCCGTCCATCTCAGTCAGGATCTGGTTGATGACACGGTCGGCAGCTCCGCCGCCGTCTCCCACGTTGCCACCGCGGGCCTTGGCTATGGAGTCCAGCTCATCAAAGAACAGAACACATGGAGCAGCCTGACGAGCCTGGGGGGGAAAAAGGGATTAAAATCAGTTTAATGGTATAATAGGTTTACAAATTTAAACAATGACCTGAAACACAGTCTTACCTTGTCAAAGATTTCTCTGACGTTAGCCTCGGATTCTCCAAACCACATGGTGAGCAGCTCAGGTCCTTTGATAGAGATGAAGTTTGCCTGGCACTCATTGGCGATAGCTTTGGCCAAAAGAGTCTTACCACAACCAGGGGGACCATAGAAGAGCACACCCTTGGATGGGGTCATGCCAAACTTGAGGAACTTGTCTGGATGCTCCACAGGGTACTGTTTTAGGTAGACGAAGAAAATATACATCATTGGGGTTTGAGTACTCAAACCAGTAYGAGATCCATTTTCAGTACGAGCTCACTCATACCTGCACCAACTCCTGCAGCTCTCTCTTGACATCTTCCAGACCTCCAACGTCGTCCCAGGTGATGTTGGGAACTTCCACAACTGTCTCTCTCAGTGCAGATGGGTTACTCTGGCTTAGAGCCCACTAAAACACAGTAAATTCAATTAATTCTTCTGGTGGAAATAAAGCTCCTCAATCTTAACAAAAACAGATCATAACAATATTTTCTACTTGGACAATCTTATGACTTTTATGCCAGGGCCATTAGATTGTTATTAACACCAGTTAGCTAAAAATCTTGGTGTTTTTTTTTTTACTTGAATTTGTAATATTTTAACTGCACTTTAGTCATTTTTATATCTTACACTCTTGCACTATGGTCTAATTTTTGTATGTGCTATATTAATAATAAACTTCTATTTGAATTTACTCCCACCATTTCATATGAATCATAATTCAAATTTTACCTTGAAGTCATCCATAGTAACAGCAAGAGAGTTCATGACTTCAGCATCAATGGTCTCATCCTCAAGGTCAATCAGGTCCATCTTCTTCCTAATGGCCTGCAGAGCAGCTTCAGAACAGAGAGCAGCCAGATCTGCACCCACATGCCCATGAGTCTCATTAGCAACCTAAGACGCAAACAAAAAACAAAATGCATGAAGCTTGACGGCAAAGTGGTACGAGGAGGTCCCCTAGGAGAAAACAAATGTATTCATACATCTATAAATGATAAATGGACTGTACTTATTATATAGCGCCTTTCTATCCATCCAGGACATTCAAAGCGCTTTTCACTTACAGATATTCACCTTGACAATCATCTGTTTAACAAGGAATATTAAAACAGCATTTTTAATTTGGTTTGTTGTATTAAAAATGTACAACTATCTCGTGTTGTAAATGACATCTGACAAAAAATAKAAACCTGTTCCAAGTCAACATCATCAGCCAGTTTCATGTTCTTGGTGTGAATCTGCAGAATCTCCAACCGGCCCGTTGCATCGGGGATGCCAATGTCCACTTCTCTGTCAAAACGTCCTGGAGGCAGTGAGAGTTCAAACAYATCCATTAGTTTTAAAGTGACAAATAAAGAGAAAATATTTAAACCAGTTAAAATAAAATAAAACATCTGCAGGAACTCTACTTCCACTAATGCTCCAGAAGATTTCAGATGATGCATCTTACATTGTTTAACCAAATGTGTATTTTTGATGACTAGGCAAAATACACTCCAGGCACTCTGTAAAAGCTGTCAGAAATGATCAATCATATCCTAAGCTTAYAGAAGTGCAGAGATGAAAGCGACTGACCCAGCAGACTGAACTGCAGAGCCAACAAAACAAACATGAGCAAGTATTTTTAACAAGTACTGCACTTTGATAGCAAAACCCTTTAAAAATTGTATGAAATAAAGGAGTTACAGTTGCATAGAATGACAAAGTGTCTTTAAAAAAAGATGAAGAATGCAACTTAAAGCTGTTTGTTGAAGCCTATAATTCTTCCAAAAACACCTCCAACATTTTTGCTTCAGTGTACATGATGCACATWTAAGCCTAGCAACTCAACGTGTGCTATAAACAGAGCATTTACCAAATCTTCTGAGGGCTGGATCAATGCTGTTGGGTCTGTTAGTGGCAGCCATGACGATCACATGAGCTCTCTGTTTCAGGCCGTCCATTAGAGTCAGCAGCTGAGAAACGATGCGCCTTTCCACCTCTCCGTGAGTCTGACAAACACAATGTACATTGTTTCTGTATTTTTCAAGTTAGACTAAACAGAGGTGGTCTTAATTAAATATAGTTAAAGTGCAAATATTTTAAATAATTTTATAACATTGATAACGACAAAAAAAACTTTGCAAGTAAAAAGCATCCAAATGTAAGTAATTGATCGGAAATGTCATGTCAATTAGAGTCTAGATCATAATTTGAAATATTGGTTGATTTCAAAACACCAACACCATTTATTTAGCTACTCTGCCTCCCTTTTTCTTTTTGTACTCACCTTCTCTCTCTTTGGTGCAATTGCATCAAGTTCATCAATAAATATGATGGCAGGAGCATTCTTCTCAGCTTCCTCAAAGGCCTTTCTCAGATTACTCTCACTCTCACCTGCCAATTTACTCATTATCTCAGGGCCTGAAATACAGAGATTAGAAGTTTAGAAGAGGGTATGACCATGGGTCTTAAAGAAGTGTCAAGTTAAAAAATAAAAAAATAAATAAAGATCAGAGTTTGTTACCATTAATTAGGAAGAAGAAAGCTCCTGTTTCATTGGCCACAGCTCTGGCAATCAAMGTTTTTCCAGTTCCAGGGGGTCCGTATAGAAGGATTCCACGTGGGGGCTAAAAAGGAACATTTTACCATCAACTTTTAAATGCCACATTGACAATCAAATCAGAGGGCTATTTTCACARCACATTCACAAAGACAAGTGTCTCACCTTGACTCCTATGGCCTTGAACAGTGAAGGGTGTCTGAGAGGCAGCTCCACCATCTCTTTGATCTGAGCCAACTGCTTCCTGACTCCTCCAATATCATCGTAGCCCACCTCATTCAGGGCCTCCTCCTCATCCTGCATATTCGGTCAAAAGATGGTCACATTTGGACTTTTCTGGAAAATGTCAAAGGTCACACATAATTGCATWGGTTGATACCGACCTCTCTTCTGATTGGCTCACCCTCAGAGTGAATAACTGTGTCAGGAGCAACAATGCAGTAGGGGGAAGGATCGGTCTCCACCACCTTGAACTCCACAGCACGCATGCCTCCTCTGACCAGGAAAATGTCCCCTTTAGAGTTAACAGAAAAGATTYAGTACAACAAGCTGACTTAAACAATAAATTGTCAAGACAATGGACAGCATCTCTTACCTTTGCGGATTGGTCTATAAGCCTCCAAGAAGTATGGCTTCAGGTAGACCTCAAACAGGTTGCCTGTAATTCCTTCCACTGTGTCATCAATTGGGAGAACATGGATCCTCTTTCCGTACTTCACATCAGGACATGGCTGAATGCTGAAGGAAATGTTACAYTTATTGCTTAGCACTTAAACAAGTACACATAAGAAAAAAAAATCTGCTGTCACCCACCTGATGACATCGCCTAGGCGGACCCTCAGATTGTTTCGGACCACCCTGTTCATGCGAACCTTTTCATCAGAACAGCTGTCATCAGAAAGCACAATGCAGACAGTCTCCCGCCTCTTTTTTCCTTTCATTAGCACTGTGTCTCCACGAAACAGCTGCAGCTCATCCATCTTGGCCTTATAGCACACATAAAGCATATTTTATTAGTATGCATTTCWATTGTTCCTACCAACCTTTATCTTACCAAACCATGGGGTTTTGAATTTTTAAAAGAAAAATAGAAACATAAACATAAATAAAGGCTTTTAAATGTTTACCTGAGAAAGAGAGACCACACTGTTGTCTTCATTGATGGATTCATCAACAACCAGTCTGTTGGGTCTGTTCTTCTGTTTCAGAATTGCAGTTGCTAGATCATCATTTTTGGATCTGTGATGAGAAACAGAGCAAGTACGTAAAAGAGAAATCACGTCAGTGCCATATCATCACTACTCATYTCTTTATTCAGCTCTTCACTCTTGTAGGGTATTTTACCTTAGATTTCAATTATYTTGTTATAAGTACTATTTAATTAAATTATTTTAAATTTATTTTCATGTTTATGCAGCTCAAGTTAATTTAAAATCAAAATAAAATTTACTGAAACAAACATTTAAAATTTTTTAGCTGCTGTACTGAAG